TACATATACATGCATGTGTATTATATATATATACATAATACATGTATATACATTTATATATATATACGTTATATATATATATAATGCAGGAAATTTAAAAAATTTTAAAAATCAAATATCAATAATAGGTCTTAAATTGTAAAAATAACCTCTACTACCATTCATTGAGCATTCAGTCTGAGCTTGCTAAGCACTATGCTTACTGCTTTACATGTATGATCCTATTAATCCTGTAAAAACTCTGTGAGGTTGGTATCAATATTTCCCTTATTTAACAGATAAAAAACTCAGAGAAGATACTATGTGAACAAATTCATAATTACAAACTTGAAGCCAAGTTTGAAGTCCAAGGTACTGATTTCATAAATGAAATGCTTAATTATTATATAAACCATTCTACAAGTCATTGCAGACATAGAAATTTGAGATTTCAGAATGATTACACAAAAATCTTGGAAAATGTCTATAGAGTCTGAGGCTGGAAATTCAACTAAAGTCATTGTAACTAACCATAAAAGTAATTCTCTTGCCCAAACTTGGATAAGTGGTTATGATTTGATGTAACTATTCTCAATCAATTTTTTCCATATAGTGGTTCACTTGCATGTACTAGTACATACTTACATGTACTAACACAAAAATACTCCCAAATAATGGAAGATTGGCATTAGTATATTAACATCACGAAAAATAATATTTATTTTTGAAAGGATCACATAAATTCTTTCAAGAAAAAAATGTAATATTATGAAGAACACTATCATATTATATACATTAATCCTCTAAGAGTTTAAATTTATGAACCACATATCTAGGAGACTCTTTTAGCCCCTAAATAGACTAAGTACAAGAACAATTTATTTTGCAGAACAATTTCATTTTGCAGCCACCTAATTAAAGGCTTTGAATTTAGTTCAGTTTCTATTTTGTAACGAATCTAGAAGAAATTAATCCATTTCAGTTCTTCTAAAAATATAGGCTACTCCAAGGAGACCTAAGGAATCCAAAATAGTTGTAAATTTACAAACCTAAGTCCAATTGACCTAAACTTCTAGCAGACCTGTAAGTTCCACAGACATGTCTTGAACTTGGAGAAGTTGGTTAATTAAATACTTTAACATCAGATTACCTACAGTGCTTCATGGTTAAGGTAGAGTAATGGGAAGAATACCATAAAAAAAACATGAATGCTTCAACATGTTTCTATATGTTCTCATATGTTTCAACAGTTAATGATAAATTTTCATTTTAATGAAAGGATAAGATAGGAAAAAAGGAGAGGGATGCACAGATGGCATAATGATTATGTTGCTAGACTTTCATGTAGTTGACCAAGGTTCAAGTCCCGGACCCAGCAGCTTAAAATTCATGCCAGGCATGTGTGTGTGTGTGTGTGTGTGTGTGTGTGTGTGTGTGTCCAAACTCCCAAGAGAAGAATGGAGGAGAACAGATTGTGACATGGCCATCCATGCTGGGGAAGTGATTTCTCACTTTCTATCTGTCTTTCCAGCAAGCTCATGTGCCCAATAGCCAAAATCTCTCAAAAATAAAAAAATAAAAAGAGAAGAGAATAATATCTTATTCCCAGAGGATTTCAATTAAATGGCAAAGACATTGCTAACTGATGGCAGCCATCTTGGATCACAAACATGGACACTAGGATGAATATCCAAATAATTTTGTATATTAACTTTTGTAAAGTGATTAACAAATATACTATAATTCCAGAAAATATAAGTAAAAAAGAGGTCAAGACCAGGATAGCCTATTGATTCTTTACCTAAAGGGTATTTGTCATATACATATAACTTGCTTTACAGTGTTAGATAATTTCACACATGGATATAATCAAAACTAAAGAATTTCAGTACAAGTGTTTGTTGATAAAAATTCTCACTCACCTGAACCTTTAGTAAAATATGGTGTTTGCCTCAGCCTACTCAGGAAATCTTTTAAGTCTACTTTCCCCTCATCTGAAAATGAAACAAAGAAATGAATAGCTTTTGACAAAAATACACAAAAGAATGGGGTCAGAAGATATGCATGTCTATTTAATCTCCAAAACTAAAGTTAGTCTCTGTTTCTCTAACTCTGATTCTATAGTTCACATCTCAGAATGACTAGGAAAAGGAATACGATTTTGATGACTCATATGTTTTTTTGTTGTAGAATCAACATGCATTTTATGGAACTTACATGTCCCTTAACCAACTGGGATCATTGTTTTGTATGTTTCCTCGCTGATGTTATATTCTCTTAATTTTCTAGCATTAAATGTCCTACTATGGGCTCACAGGTGGTATGGAGGTTAAGGCACTCAATCTCACATGGTAGACTGTGTGGTTCATATCCCAGATCCAGTCACTTAAAAATCACATAAGGCACATGTACACACATACCCAAAATCCCAAGAGGAGACTAGAGGAGGTGGGTTTGTGGTGTAGTCATACCCCTGAGAGGTAATTTTTCACTTTCTCTCTCTCTCTCTAGCAACTGTACACACCTTATAGCAAAAGAAAAAAAAAAGTCTTACTATAACTGCTGATATTTTCATGAAAGCCTAGTTAGGTACCATACTCTTAACTCAATTGTACTATCTAAAAAAGGCTATACCATTAACAAAGATATTTTAGTAAAGGAAATGTGTAATATTTGCTTTCTACTGTGAGATACTTGGTAGTTTGGGAAGAAAAAATACACTATAAGGCTTTGTATGTGTAAGTAAGTCACTAGCAGGATCTAAAAACACCAGTGTAGCCTTTTGAGGATTCTAGGGAAACCAAACTGATTGTGGGTATCACCACACTAAAGATCAGGCCTTTGTTTCTTTGGCTCAAGGCAGGCTCATGACCTCTGACCAGTAAGAACTTGTGATTCAAACCTCAAGAGGCAGAGAAATGGTAAAGAGAGAGCAAGATTATACTACCATAGGATACTAAATCAGAGCAAATTCTCACCCATCCCTAAAAGGAAAAATTTAGTGTTACTGAACTTTCATTTGATTCCTAATCACTCCATTCTGTGGGTTTATGAATTGTCTAAATACAAAATCTATATGTAATAAATGAAAGAAATACTATCAGAAAGGAAATACTTACTATCAACATAAATGGATCCAAGTACCTCCTGTAGTTCCTCCTCTGGAAGATAAATCCCTAGGCCTTTCAGTATAGATTTTACATCATCAATATCAATTTTCTCATTGCTGACTTTGTCTAAGGCCTTTGCAACTTCATTAACCTCTATCAGGAGGAAATACAATTAGATATAATCAAATTCTAAACAATAGACTATAATGTAAGAAACTAGTATAGATACTGGCATTTTTATATTTAAAGATACTAGAACAGTGAAATTCACCTTAAATATTTTCTTTATGTATGTGCATATTTAACTCTGATTTTATTTAAATATAAATAGAATACCTATGATAAGGCAAACTTATAGGAGGAATTAAACTTTGATATTTGTCCAATCTAACTCTGCTTCTCGTGCTTGCTTTCTTTGTCCAGTGTTCTCTATGCTGCTTCCCAGTTACTGCCACCTCAACCCACTTCTTTCTCATTCCTTTATTAAAACTTAACTCTTTTTAAGAAATCTTAAATAAGACCCCCAAATAAAGGGAAATTACACCAAAAACAGATAAGAGAAGTTATATCAAGGTAAAAGGCTTCAGCACAACAAAGGAAACAATAGACAACTTACAGAATGGGAGAAAATTTCTTCAAACTATACCTTAGACAAAGGATTAACAACCAGAATATATAACAAACTCGAGCAGCTCACCAACCCCAAAATTAATAGTCCAATGAAAAATGGGCAACAACCCGAACTCTCTGAGGAAGATTAATGAATGGCTAGGGACCAGCAGATGGCATAATAGCTACATATCTGGACTCTCATGTAGTCAACTGTGGTTCAAGTCCTAGACCTGATGGCTTAAACTCACACCAGGCGTGTGTGTATGCATGCCCAAGATCTCTAGAGGAGAATGGAGGAGAAGGGATTGCGGTGTGGCCATCCCCCCTAGGGGGTGATTTCTCGTTTTCTGTCTCTCTGTTTCTCTCTGTCTTTCTGGCAAGCACACACGCCCTATAACAAAATAAAAAAAAAAAAAAAAAAAAAAAAACCTACCGAAATGAAAAAATGAATGGCTAAAAAACTTATGAAAAAGTGTTCAACTTCTCTCACCATTAGGAAAATGCAAATCAAAACCATACTGATTGATCACCTAGTCCCATTCAGAATGACTATGGTAAAAAACAAACAAACAAACAAACAAAAAACTCCCGTTGTATCTCTCTGGCAAGCACATATACCCTATAACACATTTTTAAAAACAAACATTATACTGGATTCCCACTATACTTTGAATTATACTCAAATCCTCGACTTTTACTTTTATTAAAGTAAATAAAATAACCTGAATAATCTGGTCCATGCCTATCACTCCAATATTATTTTTTGCCAATGTCTCCATTTCTTACTAAACTTAAGCTACAGAGGTCTTTCAGTATCTTGAACATAAATTATTTCCTTGGTAAGCCCATAAAATTTTAGGGTATTAACTTCTTAAAAGTGAGTTAGAGCTTTTCAAAGTTATACTCAAGCTAAGGAGGGGAAAGAGAAAGAAGATGACCATCAAGAGATACCCAGCACAACTGTTCATGGAAAAGGACCAAAAAATAAACAAAATAAACAAAATAAACTGATGAAGAGCTATACTTCAAATAGAAGAATGAGGAGAGAATACTAGAATATAATAAAGAAGTAAAGCAAAACCTCTGAGGCAGAGACTGCTGATAGTGATGTAGAAGAGACAAAGTATTAGGCAGGCATTAACTGATGCCAAAAGGAGCTTCCCATAATGGGAAACATATAAGCAAAATATCCTGCGCACTATCCATTTCCACATCAGATGCCTAAAGTCCTGGACATAGGAAAGTCACAAAAATCACCACAGATCTCTAACCCAGTGTAAGAAGAAGATTCTCAGAATCCTTGTAGGGGCACTAATTTAAAAAACACACACACAAAATCCACCCCCTCAGCCCTCTAACTATACAGAACAGCACCATTTGGGGAGCAGACTCACAGTTAAAGTGCATCCTATCTTGGTGTTCAGTAGATCCTGCGCCTTCTCATCATTTAGGCCCCACTGTTGCCCCTTTAGGCCCACACGGAGGGCAGCAGAGTCAGGCCAGCAGCTGAGCCCAGTGAGCCAACAGTGACCCCAACACCTGAGTCCTCACAGAACTTTGTATTCTAAGGAACAAGCAGTGTGCTACATGAGGTAGATGACTCTAAGACCCAGAAAATCAATGCACATATACCTCAAAGACTGAGGTCTCTTGAGCCCTGCCCCCAAAGACTGAACCTCTAGACACACAAACCACCAAGACATTGAGAACTTTGAATAATCCCCCTCAGAGACTCGGAAATCTCTCACTATATAGAAAATCTAACTCAAAATATATTAAAGAGCTAAACATAAGACCTGAAACCTAAAAACAAGAACTTGCAAGAAGAAAATATAGGCAAAACGCAAGGACAACAGTTCAAGCAAAGATTTTTAAAAATAAGACATTAAAACCACAGGCAACAACAGCAAAACTATAGAAATGGGATTACATAAAACTAAAACCCTTCTGCACAACAAAGGGAATAGTCAACAAGCTGAAGAAACAACCTACAGAATAGAAAAAAAAAAAAGAAAAGTTATACACATGACAAGGGATTAATAACCAAAATATATAAAGAAGTCACTATCAAGAAAAATAAAACAAAAAAACACACAACCTGATTTTAAAACACATAATTAATCTAAACAGTTTTCTAAAGAAGACATACAAATGGGTAGTAAGCAAATAGAATATACAGCATCATTAATCATCAGGAAAATGCAAATCAAAACCTCACTGAGGTGAGGTATCACTTTACCCCAGTTAGAATGGCTATTATCTAGGGAAAGAGAAAGAAAAAAAAAGACTACCAAGTGCTAGCAAGGTTAAAAAAAGAAAAATGAAAACTCTCATGTATGGCTGGTAGGAATATAAACTAGTACAGTCATTATGAAAAACAGAAAAACAGAATAGCAATTTAACCAAAGACTAAAAACAGAACTACCATATGATTCAGTAATCCCACTACTGGGCATATATCCAAAAGGAAAGGAAATCAATACAGTAAAGAGGTAGCTGCACTTTCCATGTTTACTGTAGCACTATTCACAATTGCTAAGATATGGAATTAACCTAAGTGCCTAATAACAAGTGAATAAAGAAAATAGAGTATGTATACACAATGAAAAAAATTTTTGGCCATGAAAAAGAATGAAATCTTGTCATTTGAAGCAACATGAACAAATACAGGAGAAATAATGCCAAGTGAAATAAGCTGGGCATTCAAAAACATACACGCTATGTCCTAAGTCATTAGTGGGAGCTAAAAGTTTTCACTGTATGGAAGTGGAAAGTAAAATGGTCAATACCTGAGCTGGAGGTGATGAGGGAAGCAGTGTGGGGACAGGAAGAACTTGGTTAACAGATACAAAAGAACAAGTAGATAAGTGGAATGAGTTCAAGAATACCATAGCACAGGGTAGTAAATATAGTTGGAGACAATTCAATGTATATTCAAAATACCTAGCAGAGAGGATCTGAAATGTTCATAACACAAAGTAATAAAGTTTGAGATATTGCATATTTATTTCTTTTATCATTACACTATATATGTATATATTTTTAATTCTCATAAGTCTATATAATTATTATATATCAATTAAAATTATAATAAAAAAAGACAAAAAAGTTAAGATATTTTATTGAAGGCAGCTAGCACATATTGTCACAGGTGCCACAGTCAAAAAGACGACATCAAGCTAGATGTATCACTGATCCCAAAAAGTAAACATATTTACATTGAGATATTTATGCATTTTCTATACAACTAGAAAAAAAGAATGAGAAAGGCCTTTATTCACTTATGTGAACAAATATCCAAAGTATATTGTTAGATTTTGAAAATCAAGGATACAGAACAATGTATACATTTTGCTGCTACTTGTGTAATAAGTATGTGGAGGAAAAATATATATTTGCTTTAATGTTCATAAAAATCTCCAGGGACCAGCAGTTAGCATAATAGCTATGTTGCTGAACTCCCATGTAGCCGACCGTGGTTGGAATCCTGGACCCGGTGGCTTCAACTCACTCCGGGTGCGTGGGCGTGCGTGCTCAAGATCCCAAGAAGAAAATGGAGGAGAAGGGATTGCAGCATGGCCATCCCCTCTAGGGGGTGATTTCTCACTTTCTATCTCTCTGTCTCTCTCTGTCTTTCTGGTGAACACATGCGCCCTAAAGCAAAAACCTCTCAAAAAAAAAAAAAAAACAAAAAAAAACTCCAAACACTATCCACATAAGAAACTAAACAAAATGCTTTTTTACTGGGGGAAAGCGATAGGAAGCAAATGAATAGAAGAGCAGGTAGGAGGGAGATTTTCACTGTATACCTTTATATACTTTTTAATTTATGATTTATGTCAATGTTATTACCTAATCAAAAAGTTAAATGTATTAATTAAAAACATGTGCAAGATCATGCATTTTTGGCATCCTTTATAGATTTATTTTGACTATGAACTAATAAGTAATGTTAAAATCTAGACTTAGTGAACACAGGAAGTTCATCTTCATATGAACTCCTAAAGTACTATTTATTGGATTTTTTAGCATATTAGTTATATTTTTTATGTAACTGGTCCATCATTTCCGGAATCATAGTAAATATTTAAATGTGTATAAAATTTCCTAATCATGCTCACCTTTAAAATCTTGAAAACGCTTATTGTTCTTCAATGCTAAAAGGGCAGTCCTTAGAGAAACGTCTCCATTTTCTATAAAGAGAAAAATAATATATATTAATAGAACAAGGGGCCGGATGGTGGTGTGGTAGTAAAATGTGACACTCTATAAGGCTGACCCACATGGACAGGTTACCAGTTCACTTCTAAAGAGTTCTCCTCTGAGTACACCCATGATCTGGACTGGCTGAAGCTGAGGGTAGATTATAGGTCAAAAATCATGTCAGAGGTGCTATATCTGTCTCTGCTGTCTGTCCAAATCTTTGTGTGTCTCTCTTAGTCATGGAATAAACTAATAAACTTTTAAAAATATATAAATTAATAAAACCAAGAGACCAGCAGTTAGCGTAATGGCTATGTCACTGGACTCCCACGTAGTCGACCGCGGTTCGCGTCCCGGACCCAGTGGCTTAAACTCATGCCGGGCACATGTGTGTGCGTGCCCAAAATCCCGAGAGGAGAATGGAGGAGAAAAGATTGTGGTGTGACCATCCCCCCTGGGGGGTGATTTCTCGCTTTCTATCTTTCTGTCTCTGTCTGTCTGGCGAGCACATGTGCCCTATAGCGAAAAATCTCTCCAAAAAAAAAAAAAATTAAGAAAACCAAGACACACAAAGGACTTCTACAGTGAGCTAAATTGGTTTACTTACTTCCCTCTTAAAGTAGCTAATAATTTTCTACCCTATACACTTTTTTTTTGAGAGGTTTTCGCTATAGGGCACGTGTGCTCGCCAGACAGACAGACGGAGACATAGATACAGAAAGCGAGAAATCCCCCCCCAGAGGGGATGGTCACGCCACAATCCCTTCTTCTCCATTCTCCTCTCAGGATCTTGGGCACGCACGCACACGCGCCTGGCGTGTTTTAAGCCACCGGGTCCGGGATGCGAACCACGGTAGACTACATGGGAGTCCAGTGACATGGCCATTACGCTAACTGCTGGTTCCCTACCCTATACACTTTCATCCTAAATGCTACCTATCCAAATCCTATTCACATTAAAACTAGCTCATAAGTCTAGTTTTCAAGAAACCTTCCTTAGATCCTACGTTCCTTTCTAACTAATTCTCTATCCCTTTCTTTTCTTCACAATCTGATTTCTGGCAAGAATTCTTTTTAGAAATATTTATTAAATTTTACTTATTATTATTATTATATATATTTTTTTTAATTTGACCAGAGAGACAGAGAGAATAGGAAAGTGAGAAATCAAGCCTCCAGGTCTGGGACTTGAACTGTGGTCAACCATGTAGGTGTAAGGCTCCTCAACTACCACACCACCTGCTTGCCCCCCAAAATTATTTTATTTACTATATCTTCATTCACTACTCAAACTACTGCTATCTTGGTGTTCATCTCCATTGACATTGCTCTTACCATATTCACCAGTTAACTATTTATTGACAAACTAAGAAACACTTTTAAATTTTTGTCTTATATAACACCTTTTCCTTCAAACTTGTTCTTTCCTTTTTTTTTAAACTTTTTTTTTTCTTTTTTTTTTTTTTTTTTTGTTGATACAGCTTTCTCTTGGCTTCCCTCCTATCATTCTGGTTACTTTTAAATGTCCCATATAAATTACTCTTTCTCTACCAATCCTTAAATGTTAGTGTTCTTTCCTTGGCCCTCTTTTAGTTATAGCCTATGAACTTTTCCTGAATTATGCTGTAACTATGAACTATAGCTTGGAAGCTTGTAATTATAAAGCTTTTATTTCCAGCCTAGACTACTGTCTATTGAACATTTCAACTAGACGTCCACAATAAACCCAAGGTTGAACTCATCTCAATACACATTGTATTTTCATCTCATTAACAGTATCACCTAAATTATTAAACGTCTTTAGTCATTTATATCTTGCCCTGCAACTAGACCAGAAGTTTCCTAAATGTTCATATTTTACATTTTTTACTATATTGTATATTATATAACACCCAACATGTAACAACCACTCAAGATCAGGCCAGATACTAAACAACAACAATGGGTGTCATTCACACAGATGACAATATGCCCTTGCAGTTCTGCCATGCAGTGACTCTAGTCAACCTGATGAAGCACTGCCAAAAATCCATTTAATAATGTAAAAAAAGAAAATGCCTTTAGGAATTTATTTTAAATTAATAAAAATGTTCATATAATAACTGCCAAATTTGGAAACTATATATTCTTTTCACTGGAAGCTCTGAAGATTCAATCAACCTCATGTCATACATACAAGTCAGGTAGAAAGGAGAAATTCCTCCCCTAGTCTCTTCCTGTCTAATAGTAGTTTCACTTCAGCACAATCTACTCAGAAAATTATTTCACCTTCCTTTATGTACACAGTAAGTGCTCAAAATAAAAAAATGCCCTGATGGAATCAACACAAAATATTCCATGGGGCTATATAAAGTAAGACTTTTTTTTTTTTTTTAACAATCTTACTAATCTTGGGACCAGCAGATAGCATAGCAGTTGCGTCACTGGACTCCTACATGACTGACTGCTATTTGAGTCCCAGTCCAGTGGCTTCAAAATCATACCAGGTGCATGTGCATGCTTGTCCAAGATCCCAAAAATGGAGAAGGGACTGCAGTGTGGTCATCTCTGTTGGGGAGGGGGGTGATTTCTCAATTTCCCTCTCACTCTGTCTCTGTACCTCTCTCTCTCCAGGGAGCACATGCACCCTAGGGCAAAAAATTCTTTAAAAAAAATCTTACTAATCTTATTAAAAGATTTTCTATTAAGATAAATTTATTATCTCAGCAGAATTGTTGGTGTTTTTTACCATTCAGATAATAAAGAGAAAAATTGTTGAGTAATGTTAAATAGAAGATAGGGAAGAAGAATTGAAAAATTACTGCCATTTTATTAGGAAAATCAACTTATAATGATTATATATACCATCAACATCGAGTATTTTCTCTAACATCTGATGTTCTTCAGGCTTTAAAGAAACATTGAGGTCATCAAAAGCATTTTTCAAGTCATTAACTGGAATTCTGTCACAGTCCTTCAAGTTGATAGTATTGAAGGCAGTTTGTATATCTGAAAGCAAACAGAGATTCTGTAGGACACTTAACACTCTGGAAATAATGTTTTTACTTCCTTAGTAATGGACCAAGAGAAATAAAAGCATATATCCATACAACAATTTGTACGTGAATGTTCACACAGCTTTATTTGTAATAGGCAAAAACTGGAAACAAATATAAATATCACCAGGTAAATAGCTAAACTGGGTATATCTATAAAATGTAATACTTTTCAGCAATAAAAATAATAAGCTACCATGCAACGACATGCATGAATCTCAAAATAATTATGCTAAGTGAAAAAAGCAGGGTGTTGGGAGAGTACATCCACTTATATAAAATTCCAAGAAATGCAAACACAAATCTATAGTGAGAGAAAGCAGATTAGCGAATGTGTGGAGATATAAAGTAGAATAGAGAATGGCAGGAGAGATTACAAAAGGCCAAGAAAAAGTTTTAGGAGTAAAGGATATGTTTATCATTTTGGTCATGATGATGGTTTTACAGGTATGTGCATATTTCAAAACTTAGTATTCTTTAAATATAAAAAATACAAAAAAACTTTTCTATAAATGAGTTAAATCTCATAATGTTGTTTATAATATAATAACAAGAAGCAATAAAAATTATGACAAGTATATAAAATGGAATGTGAATGACCCACCTTCAAATACAGGAGCTGGCTTGCTTCTGTTCAAATTCTCTAAAATTTGTTTGAGACTTACTTCACTATTTTCTGAAAAGTAAAGTAAAAAGAAAGGGTCAATACTAATAATCATTAAATAACTATAACAAAGGGTGGGAGTGGGCAAATTTGGTAATTTCTGAAAATTAGCTTGATAAAATAATTTTTGAGAGGTTTTTGCTATAGGGCACGTGCGCTCGCCAGACAGACAGAGAAAGACAGAGAGATAGAAAGTGAGAAATCACCCCCCAGGGGGGATGGTCACGCCACAATCCCTTCTCCTCCATTCTCCTCTCGGGATCTTGGGCACGCACGCACACGTGCCCGGCGTGAGTTTTAAGCCACCAGGTCCGGGACACAAACCGCGGTCGACTATGTGGGAGTCCAGCAACACAGCCATTACACTAACTGCTGGTCCCCAAAAAATTAATTTTAAATAGTTGTATCCATAATCTGTTCCCTTGAAACAAGAAAGATATTCTAAGATAATTTACTAGGCTTAAGTAATTAAATGTATTTATTTATATACATATATATGTATGTGTGTGTATGTGTATATATATATACACACACATATATATGTGTGTATGTGTGTGTGTGTGTATATATAATGCTAGATAAACAGCAGGGAGTGCCCCTTAAAACAACAGAGAGCACCTCTTGAAAATATTTCCAGGTCTGGCCCTGTGGCCTGCTGGTTGAGGGAACTGGGTCCCATATGGCTGACCATGTGGTACAAACCCCAGCCCAGGCAGCTTGAAAAACATATTGGGTATATGTGTGTGCACGCCCCAAATCCTGACAGGTTGCAGAAATAGTGGATAAGGGACTGCTGCATGACCATGCCCTATTGGGGTGGATGCTTACTCCCTTTCCTTCTCTGTCTCTCTCTCTCTGATAAGTGCATATCCCTTCTGGCAAGCTAATATATACTATATTAAATGGAATATATGAAAAGGTGTGTATATATATATATAAAAAAAAAATAATATATTATATATGACACATTAATAGATATATATTAATATAACATATTAATAGATGATATAATACATTAATATGTAATATATTATCTATACTAATATATTTATATATGTGTATATTATATATGTGTGTATATATGTATGTAACACACACTAACATACATACATATGTATGTATGTATGTATGTATGTATGTATTTCCAGGAGAAAAAAGAAAATATTTATTTATTTATTTATTTATTTATTTATTTATTTATTTATTTATTTTAATCCCCTCCCTGAGAAAAAAATATGGATTTTAATTATCTCTAAATATACGTATGTTCTCATTGTATTTCTAAGACCCGGTTTGTATCTCACCTGTAAGAATGGATTTCAATGGGACCAGCAGGTGGCATAATGGCTATGTCGCTGGACTCCCATGTAGTCGACCACGGTTCGAGCCCTGAACCCAGTGGCTTAGACTCACGCCAGGCGTATGTGTGTGTGTGCCCATTCTCCAAGGAGAATGGAGGAGGAAGGACTGTGGCATGGCCATCCCCACAAATGGATGATTTCTAGCTTTCTGTCTCTGTCTCTGTCTTTCTGGTGAATGCACACACCCTATAGCAAAAACCTCTCCAAAAAAAAGGATGGCTTTCATCAAAAAGACAAAAGATAATAAGTGTTAGCAAGGATGCAGTGAAAATGGAAGTCCTATACACTAATGGTGGAAACATCAATTAGTACAGTCAGGAAGGACAATGGCATGGAGGTTCCTCAAAAAAATAAATAAAAAGAGAACTATCGTATGATCCAGCAATTCTGTTCCAGAGTATATATACAAAGGAAATCGGTGTATCAAAGAAATATCTTGGAAGATGTTGATTAAAAGGAATAAAGTTTCAGTTATATGAAACAAATTCTGGAGTACTATTGTACAATAGGTGACTATGGTTAATAATAATGTATATTTGAGACCAGCAGATGGCGAAGTAGTTACATTGCTGGACTTCCACATTGCAGACATATTTTTTTTAAATCTTGCTTTTGAGGCATCACATCAGTTTTGATAAAAAGTAAAGACAATTTTAGAATTGAAGTCATTTTAAAATAAAAAAGTACTTACTTATTTATTTATTATTAATTTGACCAGAGAAAGACAGAAAGAGAATTAGAGTGAGAAAGCAAGCTGCCTGGTCCAAGATTGAATCACGGTAAGCCATGTGGGAATCTAGCGTTTGTAACCACCACATCACCTGCCAGATCCGTTGCTGGCATATTTTTATTCCTGTAAATATATATATTAGTTTGCCAGAGGCATGTGCACTTGTCAGACTGAATCCTGAATGTGGCTTGAAAATCTCACCAGGCACGTGTGCATGACGTCCAGAAGGAGAATGGAGGAAAAGGGATTACAGACCATCTCCTGGGCGGGGAGGGGCAGGGGGTGATTTCTCACATTCCCTGTCTCTGTCTCTCTCTCTCTGGCGAGCACACATGCCCTACAGTAAAAAGCTCTAATAATAATGTATACTTAAAAACTGTTAAAAGAAAAATATTAAAATTGTAAATGTTATCATAAAAAATTATAGGGACATGAAATGAATATGATATGTTGGACCCAGCAGCCTGAAAAACACACTGGGCATATGTGCATGTGTGCCCAAAATCCTGAGAGGAGAGTGATGAGAACTGTGAGACAACTTGAGAGCACATATAACATTGTAAGTTTGTAAGAGGAGAAGGGATTGCAGTATGGCCATTCCCACTGGCGGGTGATTTCTCACTTTTTCTCTCTCACTGGTGAGCACACATGCCCTATGGCAAAAAATCTAAAGAAAAAAGAAAGAGAAAACAAATCACATTGTACATCATGTATACACAAGCTTTCATTTGCCAATTAAAAAATAAACATATTCACTGATCAAAAAAATTAAAAGTATATATAACAGATATCCCAATTACATAGTAAAAGTAAGACTTCATTAAGCTCAATATAGATTGCTCTCTCAAAAAGGATTCACCATCAACAGATGCTTGTCTCAGGATCTCCTGGAATGTCTTGTCACTTAATGGAATTCCAGCACTCAAGAGTTTGGAATTCAATTCACTTGTAGGCATCTTATCATTTCTGATATTATCAAGAGTTGTAATCTCTTTAAATAAATCTGTAAATTAAAGAGGAATAAAGAACAGATTATGAAACTGGAGCAAAGCTCTTTTAAATACTTAACATGGCATGCAGAGAGGTAGGTATATCATAGAAGGAATTCTGAGTTAAGCCCTTTTAAAAATACCAATGCTTTGTTTTTCATAAGTCAGTTAAACAGTAAACAAAATTTAGTATACTCCTAAACAGATGAAAGATGATTTTTTGTAAAATTCCACTTTTATTCATTATTGCCCCTCAAAGGTGTTTCTACTTGATCCTCAGTCTTTTACATACTTCAAAGCTTTTCAAGAGTAGTAAGGTGATAGCTCTCAGTCTGAAGTCAAGTAGCATAAATAGCATCCAAATTAGAAAAAGGAAAACTGAAAAGTAAAAATCTGCTGTAGAATGAAAAACACTTAGTCACTTTCCTAACATTAGAGAGCCTTTCTCTCTACCAGTCTACCTCTAATTTTAGGTGTACTAGATCTTTTTTTGTACTTTCTTTAACATATTTCACTATAGGTGAAGATAATAAGCAGGTGGATATTAGTAAAGGCAAGAAAAAATTATATTACAGTAATAGGGGAGGAGTGTTTGTACTTTTACAATGAAGCATATATTGAAACAAATTATTTGATTTAGGGAAGTATATTATAGGTAGGCAATTCTAAATCAAAGGTATATACTCAAAGCATAGATTGAAGATAGTAATGAATAAGAAAGCAGATTACAACATTTAAAAAAATGAAAATTTAAGAAAAGTATTGAAAATACAGGAAGTGACTATAATTTTTTAAAGGTAAAATACTATAGAATGACCTTAGAAACCTGTTTTTAATTGCTATTCTTTTACTGTGCTTACTGTTCAGTGGTGTTGATGGTTTAGATGAATTAGTGAAAACATCGATTTCATTTAAGATCATTTTTCTTTCTGCAAATGAAGAAATAAAGTAAGGTTTAAACTAATTAAGGCAGGAATCTGGTATTGTTTTAATATTCTTTTATTCAGGTTTCAAGTTTCTTTGATCATAATTCATAGTAAGAAATACATTTAGATTGGGAGCATATATAAACAGAAACAGAATTTATAGGACAGTACTTAACAATGTTATATGTGCTCTCAAGTTATCTCACAGTTCTCATCACTTCCTTTGTCTTATCCTGCTAGATATTTGAGCTAACTACCACTGGCCTGGTTCAAATGTTATCTGTCCTAGAAGCTTATTTATTTAAAGAGTCACTATTAGAGCCATGACATTGTACTTCTTGAAGCGGCAGGGCAATTTGACTCACCTTTCTCTTCCCTTCTGTTCTAAGTAGTTAGCTGATCCTTAAGTATTTCCTAACTCCTAGGATTTTGGCAGATTAAAAGTGTCTATAGGGACCAGCAGTTAGCATAATGGCTATGTCGCTGGACTCCCACGTAGTCGACCACGGTTCAAGTCCCGGACCAAGTGGCTTAAACTCACACCGGGCACGTGTGCGTGCGTGTCCAAGATCCCGAGAGGAGAATGGAGGAGAAAGGACTGCAGCGTGACCATCTCCCCTGGAGGATGATTTCTCGCTTTCTGTCTCTCTGTCTCTCTGTGTCTGTCTGGCAAGCGCACGCGCCCTATAGCAAAAACTTCTCCAAAAAGAAAAGTGTCTATACAGAAACTTTTGCAAAAGCCTAAAACCATTGAGGAAAATATCAAATTCCTAAAGAGAGAGATTTTGACAACAAAGAGGAAGGATTTCTCTTGAGACAGAGGGAGAGGGGAGATACTCGAAGTCTCATGGGAAAGAATGAGAATTATTCTGTGAGCACATCCCTTCCCCAACTCCTGTTACAAGGACACAGAACACCAAGATACAGGACTATCAGTACCTTTATCAACTAAGTATCAGTAGTAACAAAATGGAAGGAAGTTTAAAAGCCCTTCCTCTATTTCCCATATTCCTCTCTCTCACATTATGGTGGTGGGATCCTGGAATAGGAGGTGGAGAACACCTAATATTGAACTAGTCAGCCTTCAGGGTAGGACAATTTTGCTTTTTCCTTTTGTTTTTCACTTGGAATTTCTGGCTTACTTATAATCATTTAACATCTTTGTGGGTTACAGTATAGTTTTTCAAAGCATGCATACAGTGTGCAATAATCAAACTAATATACAGATTCATCTCATTTGACATTTAACATTACGTTATATTGTGATCATGTTAATAGTTCTACTAGTTTTCTTTGTTTTATTTTGCTTTGCTTTGGGAAATTCATATTGAATTTTCAATTATATTTTTTACTGTGCTGTAGTATACCACTCCATAGCCATTCCACTTGTTTAGATGCATTCATTATCTACTAATCATTTTCTTATGATTCCTCCTTCTCCTTGTGCAGCTTCTGGTATCTAACACTACTCTTTTTATTTCTATACCACTGAATCCTTCAGCTTCTATCACAGAGTACAGAACTTGGTATATATTAAGCAGGGACATAAAGTATTTGTTTTTCATAGCCTGGTTTGTTTCACTGAGAATTGTATCTTCTAGGTTCATTCAATTTCTGTCTAATTACAACATATCATAATTCTTTGTGGATGAATAATATTTCACTGTGCATATGCGCCATTTTTTCTTAATCCATTCATCAGTTAGTGGGTACTTGGGTTCATTCGTGTCTTAGCTATTGTGAATAATGCTCTGAGTGATTTCCTGTCTTTCGGTAAATACCCAAGAATAGAATTAATGGGTCAGAGAATAGTTCTATTTTCAGATTTTTGAGGAACCTCCATACTGTTTTCCACAAAAGCTGTACTGATTTACATTCCCAACACAGTGCACAAGGATGTCCATCTCACTGAATCCTCACCAGCACTTACTAGTCTTTGTTTTGTTTTGAGAACTATTCTGACTGGGGTTAAGTGATGCTTTGTTGTGGCTTTGATTTGTATTTCCTTTCTGATAAGACATATTGAACATTTTTTCTTATGCATTTTAGACATTTGCATGTCTTCTTTTGAGAGTTGTCTGTTCATACCAGTTTCCCATTTTTAAATTGGATTACTAACTTTTTGTTGGGTGAGCAGTTTGAATTTTTTACGTATTCTGGTTATCAATTCCTTATCTGAAGTATAGTTTTCAAATATATTCTCACACTCTTTGTGTTGTCTCTTCATTCTATTTTTTTGTTTCCTTTGCTGTGCAGACACTTTTTACCTTGATGTAATTTTATTTGTCTATTTTTTATGTTGTTGCCTACTCTCTTGAATATGATGGGATGAAAAACTGGAGGAAAAAGATTATGGCTTGATCAAACCCTGTGGAAGGTGCTCATCTCTCTCTCTTTCCTGCTCTCTCTCTTTCATGCACATGTGTGCACTCTATCATGAATAAAGGAACAAACTGATAACTACGGAGAGAAATAAAAAATATACTATTATACCTGAAGATCTTAACATGCTTTCATAATTAACAGGGCAAATAGACAAATTAGAACATAGAAAATTTACAAACGTCATCACTAAACTTGACCAAATGAAAAAATACAAAGGATTGTACTCAATAATTGTAGAATATCTTTTTGAACATGCATAAAACTTTTTTTAAAAAATTAAAGATGTTGTGGTTCATAAAGCAAATCTAAATACATTTCAAATTATTGAAATAATATAAAACACATTATTTTACTGCAATATAATTAATTCAGAAAATAACAAAAAATAGTCCCAAATTTTGAAATGAAGAAACATAATTCCTGAATTGCCTATGGTTCAAGAAAGGAATCATTATAAAAGTGAAAAATATTTTTAAATACTCAATGAATAAAATACAAATAGCAATACCTGAGGGATGTAGCTAAAAAAAGCAATAGAGGAAAATATATGTTTATATGCTTACAGTAGAAAAGGGGGAAAAGACTAAGATTTAAGGAGAAAAAGCATTATTTCTCAATGAGTTATAAAAAGAGCAAGAAAATAAGTCTAAAAATTGTACAGGAAAATGATAAAGATAAAAACATAAATCAAGGAAATAGTAAAGATGTAATACAGAGGATTAAAAAACAAACTCAAGGAACCAGCAGTTGGAGTAATGGCTATGTCACTGGACTCCCATGTAGTCGAGCGTGGTTCAAATCCTGGGCCCCGTGACTTAAATTCACACTGGGTGTATGTGCATACGTGCCCAAGATCCCAAGAGGAGAATGGAGGAAAAGGGATTGTGGCGTGACCATCCCCCCGAGGGGGGGATTTCTCGCTTTCTGTCTCTCTTTCTGGCAAACACACGCGCTCTATAGCAAAAAAAATAATCTCTCCTCCCCCCCTCCAAAAAAGAATCACCAACTGGGGGGGAAGCAGCAGATGGCATGGTAGTTAAGGTGCTGGACACTCCCACATGGCCGACCACAGTTCAAGTCCCAGACCTGGTGGCTTGTTTTCTCATTTTCCTTCTCTCTCTGTGTGTCTCTCTCTCTGGTCAAATTAAAATAAATGAGTGAGCAAAAAAAATAATCTCTCCTCCCCCCCTCCAAAAAAGAATCACCAACTGGGGGGGAAGCAGCAGATGGCATGGTAGTTAAGGTGCTGGACACTCCCACATGGCCGACCACAGTTCAAGTCCCAGACCTGGTGGCTTGTTTTCTCATTTTCCTTCTCTCTCTGTGTGTCTCTCTCTCTGGTCAAATTAAAATAAATGAGTGAAAAAAAAAAAACCCTCAAGAGTTAGTTATGTTATTAAAATTACAAACCACAAGCATAAATTATATATTTTTATCTTTATTTATTTATTATTTATTTTAATTTGACCAGAGAGGGACAGAGTGAGAGAGTGCACTGGAGAGAGAAGGAAAGTAAAAAAGCAAGGTCCAGACCTCGAACAGTGGTTGACCATGTGGGAGTCCAGTGCTTTAACCTCCATGCCACTTGCCAGCCCCACACATAAATTATATTAAAAATATAATAAAGCCAGAAATGGCATGGAGAGTAAGGTATCTGGATCTCTCACTGCTGACTGTGTGGTTCAAGTTCTGAACCCAGAAGCTTAAAAAACATGCCAGGTATGTGTGTGCATACCCAATGTCCCAAAAGAAGAAATGGAGGAGAAGGGATTGTGATGTGACCATCTATCATGGGGGATGCTTTCTCATTCTTCTCTCTCTCTGGATAAGTCCAGGTGCCTTCTAGCAAATTTTTAAAAGAATAAAAAGAGGCAAAATTTAATGAGATGAGGGCATTATTGTAGATAAAGAAAACATAAAAATGCTAAGAACTTATTATTGAAAACTGTATAGCATTATAGGAATAATTTTTTGTAGGAATAAAATTTTCATATGACAAAGCCTAACTTCTAGGGAAAAAGAAAAAAACTTACCAATACTCACTCTAGGGCAACAGAAAATGTAAATAATCCTATGATGTGAAAGCACTTTTAGCTAACAGTATTCTGGTCCTAGACTTAGTGCAGAGAGATTAAAGAAAAATAAATACGTGAATTTGTAAATTATAAAACTATATAAAACATAATATAACCATGAAATGAAAAACACAGCACTATAAAGATATAAGTTCAGGCTGGCCCTTTGTCCTAGTGGTTAAGAGAATCAGATCCCACATGGCCAACTGTCATTCAAATTAGGAACCTGGAAGAATGAAAAACACACTGGGCACATGTACAAAAGTATGTCTACAATTCCAACAGCATGGAGAAATAGAAGAGAGGGGATTGCAGCATGACCACGTATCATTGGGAGATCTCTCTCTCTCTCTCTTGCAAGTGTAGCACCCTCTGTCAAAAAAAAATAGGGGATCAGGAACCAGCAGTTAGCATGATGGCTATGTCGCTGGACTCCCACGTAGTCGACCACGGTTCGCGTCCCGGCCCGGTGGCTTAAAACTCACGCCGGGCACGTGTGCGTGCGTGCCCAAGATCCCGAGAGGAGAATGGAGGAGAAGGGAT